AAAAAAAAAAAAATAAAACTAGGTAACTTGGAGGTGGTGAGATGCCTCAGTGGGTGAAGGTGCTTGATACTGGGCTTGATACCCAGAGTTCCATCCCCAGGACCCTGGGTAGATGGGGAGAACTACCTCCTTCCTGCATGTTGTCCTCTGACCTTCACACATACACTATGGCGCACACACCCCTACACATACTTAATAGGTAAATTTAAACAAAACATAAATAGAAGAAAATAATTCCTCTCCCAAAACTAGGTGACTTGAAGCTTGGTGTAGTATAGTGATGTATATCAACAATTCCAGCAAGTTTGAGGTCAGCCTGGTCTACATAGTTCCAGGCAAGCTCAAGGGTATGTCTCAAAGAACTGAAACCAAAGAAATAAAATCTTACGGAGTCTTAAATGTGAAAAGAACATTTGTTTTTCACTGTTTGGCTTTTTAAGACAGGGTCTCCTGTAGCCCAGGCTGGCCTTGGACTCCTGATTCTTCTGCCTTCCCCTTGCTAGTGCTGGAATCACGTGAACCACCAAGCTCAGCTTTCATTTTAAGAGTAAACGGGGAGGTGACTTAGTGGATAGAGTACCAAGCACAGGGGCCTGAGTTCCGCTCCCCAAAGCTCGTGTGAGGAGCTGGGCATGATAGTGCACGTCTGTAATCTCATTGTTCCTGCTGTGAGGTGAGGACCTGAGAGTCCACGGCAGCTCATGGGCAGCTAGCCTGGGAGATACATTGTGTTGTCCTCTGACCTCAGTACCCTTACCAAGGCATGCACTTGTCCTTATTCACACACATGCACACATCATACGTGTACACAACATACACTTTTATAAAATTAAGGAGGCTAGAGAGATGGCAGCAGCTGACAGTAAGTATTGCTCTTCCAGAGGACTCAGTTCAGTCCCCAGCCGCTACATCAGGTGACTCATCACCTCCATAGGGTACCCACACACTAGTGGGGTGCACTCACTCAGACACATAAACACATATGATTGAAAATAAATCTGGGGGGAGAAAAGGTGAGAGAACTAATCTAAACCTAGAAGGTTGGGGTAGGAAGTGAAGGCCAGTCTGGGCTACTGGAGTTCTAAACCAAAGGAAGGAGAAAAAAGAGAATTATCTTAAATGTGAGAAACTAAAGTGAATGTGGTTGGATACACCTGTAATCCCAAATAGCCTTGTTTTTTTCTTAAAGTGAGTAAATGGCTGGGTTTGTGGTACATCCCTGCAGCCCCAGGTGCTTAGAAGGCTGAAGTGTGATAATCCCTTAAGGAATTAGAGGCTAGTCTAGAAAACCATAGTGTGACCCTTTCTCAAGAAAACATGAGGAAGTGTCTGAGGTGGCTCAGCTGATAAGGGTGCTTGCCAGATGACCAGTGCCATCCTTGGAACCCACAGTGTAGGAGAACCAATTTCTGACCACACCTGAAGTCCCCTCACCACACACACAGAATAAATAAATAATACTTTTTTAAAAGAGCATGAGGGGCTGGGGTGTAGCTTGGTTGGTTGGTGAGGTTTACCCAATCTGCACAAAAGCCTGAATTTGATCTCAGCGCCAGGCAAGGGGCTGCACAGCTGTAATTCCAGCTTTCAAGAAGGGGAGGCATAAGGACCTGTTGTTCAAGTCATCATCTTTGGCTACCCAATGAGTTGAAGGCCAGCCTTAAACTTACCTAGGATCCTTTCTCAAAAAAAAAACTTTTATTTTGTTAGCTCATTTTTAATTACTCACTGGACATGGTCCATCTCCAGTCTCAGCAATGCTGGAAGCTGAAGCAGGATTGAATTTAGGCAACAGTATTCAGAAAAAAAGAATTAGGAAAAACAAAATGGAAGTTTGTTTCCAAGAAGTGGTGGGTCATCTAGCTATTTTGTGGTAGAGCTGAGTGGATTTTTCTTCATATAAAGAGTCTAGAAACTGAAAGCCTTTGTGTGATTTACAGGAGTTTTCAGGATTGTGAAATGCTTTGCAAACCAGCAGTAAATGCATCGTCTTCCTTACTGTTTTGCAGATTAACTGAAACTGAAACTGTTTTGTAGACTAACTGAAACTGACATCTTTTAACTGTCAGAAAGAATAAGGTTTTCAATTTCTAACAATTCAGTGCATCCCAGGGAGGCATGCAGACTTGCAGAAAGTCATCCCTTACAGTTCATATGGCATTGTTTTTTTTTTGATTCCATAGGAACATCAGACTCGTTCTGGCCTCCTGCAGTCCTCCATCATCACTCTGTACACTCTTTACCTCACGTGGTCAGCCATGACCAATGAACCTGGTAAGGGAATGTCATAACTCCCTGATAGACGTGCTCCTTTGGTGGGCATTCAGACTGAAGTTGATGGGAAATAGACTACTTATAAATGTCCAAGGTTCACAGTTGGTTTCAGATATTTGCCTTTTTTAAGTAACTGAGATAAAACTAGGGATACGCTCCTGTTTGAAAAGCCTGAGCACCAAGCTAAAACACTACCTGTTAAATTCACAAAACCAGTGAAGTTACAAGAGGCATTTATAAAGCTTGAGATACTGTTTTTTTCTAGAGCTAGGTCATTGGTTGAGATGTAAATACAGTACTGACTACTGAGTTTCGGGTTCTTCTAAGCATAGCTTTCCTGTGTTTCACAACACAGCTAAATGGTGTGTAGGCAAGCCCTCTGATTCTTCCTTGGAACAAGAGTGAGCTGAAACTAATGATAACCAAACATTTCCATTTTCAGACCGGTCCTGTAACCCCTCTCTTATGAGCATCATCACACACTTGACTTCACCAACTGTGTCTCCAGCAAATTCAACCACTCTTGCTCCTGCTTATGCCCCACCATCACAGAACGGACACTTTATGAATTTGGATGATATTGGGGGGCTGTTTATCTTTGTTGTCTGCCTTATATATTCTAGGTAAGTTCTGGGTAGGAGGAGCTTTAAATTCTCATGAAAGTGAGTAACATTTTGTTTTTAAACCATTGTAAAGAATTAAAACAGCTGGGTAGTGGTGGCGCACGCCTTTAATCCCAGCACTCGGGAGGCAGAGCCAGGCGGATCTCTGCGAGTTTGAGGCCAGCCTGGGCTACCAGGTGAGTTCCAGGAAAGGCACAAAGCTACACAGAGAAACCCTGTCTCAAAAAACAAAAAAAAAAAAAAAAAGAATTAAAATAGTGCAGTGAAAAGTCCTTTGCATGTATTTGCTTACACAGCTGTGTGTATTTATTAAAGTTCAGAAAATTCAGCCAGGCAGTAGTGGCACTTGCCTTTAATCCCAGCACTCGGGAGGCAGAGGCAGCAGACCTCTGTGAGTTTGAGACCAGCCTGGTCTACCGAGAAAGTTCCAGGACAGCCAGGGCTACACAGAGAAACCCTGTCTTGAAAAACAAAAAAAGTACGAAATTAAAAGAGTTCAGAAAATCCTCTCTTAATTACCCCTGCTCTTAAGGAGGTTCCTCCTTTGTATAGAAGGATAAAAATCTTCACTTGACTTTAGATGGGCTGGAAATAGGGATCTTCAGAATTCTCTTTTAGAAAATAATACAGTGATTTGGGCAGAAAGTATTGGTCAGAGTATATGGCACTTGTCTGGTATATGTGAAGCCCTGGGTGTAATATCCATAACTGTGCCAAAATTTTTTATGTGTTTTTTTCTCATTTATATTAAGTTAAAAAATTGTAAGTTTAATAGTCCCTAGTACAAAACCACAGATATAACTTTATTTGTACCCATCCTCCCACTCATTTTATTTTTTCATACAATAGCATGTATTAGATTAATAATTTAAGTGTTTTTTTTTGTTTTTTTTTGTTTTGTTTTGTTTTGTTTTGTTTTGTTTTGTTTTGTTTTGGGGTTTTCGAGACAGGATCTCTCTGTAGCTTTGGAGCCTGTCCTGGAACTCTCTGTAGACCAGGTTGGCCTTGAACTCAGAGATCCCGCCTGTCTCTATCTCCCAAGTGCTGGGATTAAATGCATGTGCCACTATCACCCGGCGATAAAATTTTATTTTTATAGGTTTGAAAAATAAGAGAGACTAAATAATAAAATTGGAAATGAGAATATCTTCTTTTGAATCTACTGTTACCATGGATAACATTTTGGTACATGGTATTTCAGTCATTTGTCATTGTAGTAGCCTTCCACTTTATGTATAGATTTAACTTATTTTTTTTTGTTTTTTTATTTAAAAAAAATTTTATTCACTTTACATAGCAACCACAGAGCCCCCTCTCATCCCTCCTCCCACTGCCCCCTTAACTTAATTTTTTAAAACATTTTGTGTGTATGTTTATTGAAGGAGCAACAGTTGCACCATGGTGCACATATGAAGGTTATTTTTGCTTGTTTGTTTGTTTTTAAGATGTTATTTATTATGTATAGTATTCTGCCTGTACATATGCCTGCAGGCCAGAAGAGGGCACCAGATCTCATTACAGATGGTTGTGAGCCACCATGTGGTTGCTAGGAATTGAACTCAGGACCTCTGGAGTGCTCTTTTAACCTCTGAGCCACCTCTCCAGCCCCTGGCCCTAATATTTTAAAAGATTGCCTAGAGTAGGGATCAGCAAACCATACCTCAGTTAGGCTGGTTGGCTACTTTTAGGCTTTTTGTTGTTGAGACAGGAGCTCATGTCTGTGCCAGCTTCACATCTGCTGTATAGCTGAGGATGAGCTAGAACTGGTCCTCCAGCCTTCACCTCCTGAGTGAGTAGCTGTGTGTCCACGGCATGGCTCAGAGGTCATAGGACAACTTTAAGGAGCTGGTTCTCGCCTCCTCACTCTGCATTCCAGTCATTGAATTTAGGTTGTCAGGGTTTACCTGCTGAACTACCCTTTTTTGGTTTCTACACAGAGACAAGGTCTTTCTGTGTAGACCTTGCTGGCCTGGAATTAATGGAGATCTGCCTGCCACTGCCTCCAGAGTGCTGGGGTTAAAGGCGTGGGCCACCACCACCAGCACTTTTAGTATTTTCATAAAATACTTAAAAAATACTAAATTTTGTCATGTGCTTTTTCTGTGTTGAAATGACCATGTAGTTTTTGTCCTTTTTTTTTTTTTTTTTTTTTTCTTTAATCATGAACTCATTCATCTGCACTGCTGGAAATCCAGATGACTATAGCTGATGTTAAGGAGGAGTTCTTTGAATAGTAAGCAAGGCAGGATTGACAAGTGCTGGGTCAGGACACCTAGAGAGCTGTGGGAAGTGGGAGGAAGCTTCTCACCCAGCCTGGGGGAGGCATGATGTTAGGGAAGAATTTCAAGAGGCCATGGCACTGAGACAGAGAAGGGAAGGATGAGTGAGTTAGCTAGGAAGAGGTAGGTGGTATATTACCAGCATAGCAGAGGCACTTACATAGTAGTAGAAGAGACACTGGGCAGTGTGTTTCTGGAATTGAGTCATGGAATAGCAACTACTAAGAGTACCATTCTGTAATTAATAGGCAACAGGTAGTAACTTTGGACAGGGCTTTCAGCATCAGGCTTTCTAGTCCAAAGTGGGAACAGCCCAGAAGTAACCTGTACATATATGAGCCAAAGGCATCATTTCATCTCAAATGACTCCCTCTTGATGTGATTTTCTTGGGATTACTTTCCAGCATCCGTACTTCGAGCAATAGCCAAGTTAACAAGCTGACTCTCTCTGGGAGTGACAGTGTTATCCTTGGTGATACCACCAATGGAGCCAGTGATGAAGAAGATGGACAGCCTCGTCGGGCTGTGGACAACGAGAAGGAGGGGGTGCAGTATAACTACTCCTTATTCCACTTGATGCTCTGCTGTGCTTCCTTGTACATCATGATGACCATAACCAGCTGGTACAGGTAGGAGGCATAGACAAAGACAGAACACTCAGCTCTTGGGAATGCCTATAAAATCTATGTGAATTGTCCTTATTGCAGAACCCTTCTCTGTCTCAGAGAATGAAGCTGTCTGTATTCAGTGTCCTTTTCTGGAGTCCTTTTTGTTTGCTTCAGATGGTCTAGCTTCAAACTTGCCATTGTTCTGGTTCTGCCACAGCCACCTAACTGCGGGGAGTAAGAGCATGTGTCAATATGCCCTGCTTGAAATAGAACCTACCTAGTAGGAATTCTTTGCAGTTCAAATTATTGGTAGCTTTTCTAGATGAGTTATTCAAGAAGAAAAATCATGACATAAAGCCATTTGGCCTGACATTGGTAATTTTTTTTTCTGTGCTTTTAGAGAGGCCATATTAAAGTATTCTGGTCAAAGTAATAACTGTCCTAAGCAGGGACCATTTCAGGGAGGCCATTTTCATTTTGTCAGTAATTATAGTAATTCAGATGGTACAGAAGAACCTTGCTGAGAGAATAGGTAGGTCTTTCATGTTAGCAAGAAGGAAAAAATGATGTTTGAGAGGCAGAGTCCATTGGCCATAACTGAAAATAGCTTCTCAAGTCCCTACTAGAACCATGCTAAGGTAATAGTAGCAGCTAAGTCTCACTGAGGGGTTTCTTGGCATTAGCCAGGGTGAGTGGAATGGGAGGGATTCAGCTTTGCAATATTAAGCTTTTTTCCCCCCTTACTTTTTTTTTTTTTTTTTTAGTCCTGATGCCAAGTTCCAGAAAGTATCCAGCAAGTGGCTAGCTGTGTGGGTCAAAATGGGCTCGAGCTGGGTGTGCCTCCTCCTCTACCTCTGGACTCTCGTGGCTCCACTCGTCCTCACAGGTCGGGACTTCAGCTGAGCTTCAGAGTGCCAGGAACACTGCTAAAGCTGCAGAGTCTCCTTTGCTGAACGCATATCCCCTCTACGTTTCATCAACTAAAACTATTAAGTGAACGCTTTGCAAATTTGCCTGTATTCATGTTTATATCAAAAGGCAAGACTGAATAATGCTTGATGCAGAATCTGAGCTTTCATATATATACATATATTATGTTTATTTGTAAGGCTATAGCACAAAGGGAACATTTTTGTGTTTTAGCGTGAACTACAGCTGTGCTGTGAAGAGAGTTCTTTATAAAGACCTGTAGATTCCTACAATTTTGGTTTAAAATGTAAGTTAGAAAATTGTTGGATATTTGAGGCTATCTTTAATATATTTCTATTGCAGTCTCCTTAAAAATCAAAACAGGAATGTATTAACCCACAATTCCCTCAGTAAAGGTCTTTGCTGAGTGACACAGGCACACTGTTTCTTGCAAAGGGTCTTCAGAGGTGTAGAGTCCTGGTTTTTGGCAAGGAATTACGTATGTAGGTCCTTCCCCTGGAACGTGGCTGCTGATAAGGCTGAGAGAAGGCTATTGAGTTCCTTTACTTACTTTTTATACTACACTGACGCTGCTTGATAGAAGTCTGTGGCTTTGTCAGATTTATGTCATCCCAGTAAATGCTTTGTAGATTTGATTAAAATGAAAATTCACTTGGGAAACACTGCAGTGTTATGTAATGATCTTGTTTTGAGTGTAAAAGTCAGAGGCATGTTAGTTTATTACATTTGCACTATAAAAGTACTTGATTAAAATAGATAATTTGGTTTCTTGTTTGTTTGTTTGTTTGTTTTTTAGAAAGGGCCTTTTCTTTGTATCCCAGACTTATCTGGAACTCACATCATCCTGCCTCAGCTTTCAAGTGTTGAAATCGAGGTCTAGGCCACCATACCTAGTTTCTCAAGGCTCCTTCTTCAACAGGGTTTGGTCAGCTCTCTTTGTTTGCTTGTTTAGAGAGTCCCAGGTCAATCTGACATTTCAGGCAGATGCTTCGCTTCTCTTCTTTACACTTAAGATTTGACTAGTAAGTTAAGTCTTACGTTCATTTAGAAACTATCCCTAATATTTTCTATGGGAAAGACAAAAGTGGATTAACAGGCAGTTAAGGCACTATCAATGAAGATGCACTGAAAAGCAGTCCACAGGAGATATGATAAAGCAGGCTTTTCTACAGAAACTGGCCAAGTGTTTGGTCTGCACTATGCCCTGTAGGGCTGAAGACACGACAGATGAACATTTTTCCATCTTGGGCCTCAAATTTAAGGAAAATAAGCTGATCAGCATGGGAGATTAGTACTGAAAACTCAGGCGAAGAGGTTCCTGAATAGAAGCTAGTACAGTGTACTTCTTAGAGAGCGTGCCCTTAGGATTTGTAACTTTGGTTCATACCAGATACCGTGGCAATTCATCTGAGATTTGAAATAGAGAAGTAAAGAAGGTTTGGTGAGAAATTGACAGCTTAGATCATTTCCACATTAGTGTTTAAGTAGATAGGAGAGATTGATTTCTGGGAGATTCTGGTTTAATCTTTGTAGATAGGTTCTATTTGGGACCCTGGTTGTATCAGGATGGAGGTGTTCAGAATCTGATAGATGCTGGGTTTCAGGTGGCTTTAGAGAATCAAATGGATGATCAGCTAAGTAGGGTTGGAGGCCTGGGAAGCTGGATTTGACAAGTTATTGGAACCCCTGTCCTGTAGGTTCCTGTGTGGAAATCAAGTTAACCAAAGATTTTTGGACAGATAGGCTTGGCCCTTGATCTTAACTGTGTAAGGCAGCTACACTGCTCTTAACAGCAGGGGACTCACAGTCAGACCTTTAAAGGTCCTACACTTCAGAACATAGTTCCCTCTGCTTTGCCTTACATGATTCAGAATAATGTAATAAAGTCCAATAAAGTTTGCTTTTCTCCATCATGATCATTTTGAGATTAATTTGAAATAACAAGTTCTCTTTTAAAAACGGAGCAGCAGTTCTACCTTTGCTTGGCTGCACTTTAAGAATGAGCTAAGTCTGCTGTTAGACATGAAACAGTCTTTCAAGATGCAAGTGAAGTATACCTCAAGTGCTTGAAGAATGCCAACATTCTGAGTAAGCCTAGAGTCATACCTCAAAACAGGACATTGTTTGAATCATCCCATTCCAGACGAGTCCACCTGATACTTCATCACACCCTCATCTACAGACCGAGGGCCCTGACTCAGCCATCAGTGGCACAGTCTAGGAATTTATCAAAGGCAACAGCAGAAGCTGCCACTACAGACGAGCTGCAGCTGGGAGAAAGCTAGTTGGCCCAGCTTGAATTAGTTTACTTTCTAGTGCAGTGGTTGTCAACCTGTGGGTCATGACCCCTTTGGGGACGGTGTTGAACAGGCCTTTCACAGGAGTCGACTAAGACCAATGGAAAACCTATATGTTACAATTCGTAACAGCAAAATTACAGTTATGAAGTAGCAATGAAAATAATTTTATGGCTGGGGGTCACCACAACATGAGGAACTATATTAAAGGTCACAACCTTAGGGAAGTTGAGAACCACTGCTCTAGGTCAGTCTGTTTGGAGATAGGGTCTTGCTCTAGGCTGTTCTGGCTCAAAACTTGCTCTGTAGGCTAGGCTAGCTCTGCAGTTTCAGGAGTCCTGCTAAACTCACTAAACACCATGATGGATTATAGGGAACAGCCACCAGGCCCAGCCTAAAATTTTATTTTGATAACAAAAGGCACTACCAAAAAATGGCCTTGGAAGCCAGGGATGGTAGCGCATGTCTATAATCCCTGGTACTCAGGATGCTGAGCAGGAAGATCACAAGTTCTAGGCCTGCCTTAGCTATAGGTTATGTTTCAGCCTGGGCAACATAAGGAAACCTTATCTTAAAATTAAAAAATAAAAGACACATAGGCATGTAGCTTAGTGGTAGAATATTTGCCTAGCATGTATGAGGTGCTGGGTACACTCCCCCAAACCAGCCAGGGACCTGGTTAGTGATAGAGGGTTTTTGTTTTGTTTTGGGGGTTTTGTTTTGTTTTGTTTTTTTGATTTTTGGTTTTTGTTTTTTTTCAAGACGGGGTTTCTCTCTGTAGCTTTGGTGCCTGTCCTGGATCTTACTCTGTAGACCAGGCTGGCCTCGATGAGCTCACAGATCTGCCTGTCTCTGCCTCCCAAGTGCTGGAATTAAAAGCGTGTACCACCACCACCACCACCCAGCTTTTGAAATCTTAGACCATAACTAAGATCTATCTGATTTAAAGCAGGGCAGCCTTTTTGTCTATGACAAATCCTTGCTTCTTACATTGGAAGCTAAGCTAAGTGTTCTGCTAACAGATGATCACTGGGTATTGACAGCAGACGCCAGGCCTGTGCTTATTAACAGGGATTACACTTCATCCCTTTACTCCTCTTGTATTGGTCCATGTTACCCAGGCACACAAATTAGCTGTGCAGTGATGTCCTGATTACTGCTGTGTGACTTAAGCCTATCTTCAAGTGAAAAATAAGATATCGTGTAGCTGGGGATCTAGCTCAGGGATACAGTGTTTGCGTAGCATGCCCAAAGCCTTGGGTTTTCTCTTTAGCAGTGTCCCCCCCTCCCAAAAAAAAAAAAGATCATGTAAGTAGCTACATTTGCAGTGATTGAGCAATATCTGCTGCTGTGTGGTTGGTGGTTACCTACTTTTCCCTCTTTCAAGTTTAAACAGGTTTAGAAGATGATTTGTCCAAGGTTACCCAGGAAATGGAAAAGCAGAGAGACATTGGTCTTGACTTAAAAATAGACCTCATTGCTCCTGGGCCCATCAAGGTATAGGAGTCGGAAGAGATGGGGAAACACACAGGGAGAGGCTGCTCACCATGTCCACGTGACCTGAGTAGGCACTAGTGTCATTTCCTTTGAGACAGCCTTACCATGTAGCCCTGGCTGGACTAGAACTGGCTATATAGACCAAGCTGGCCTCAACTCAGTCCTCTGCCTGCCTCTGCTGGTTTTAAAGAGGTGTGACCTGGCTTTTCACTAGCATCTTCAGGTCATCTCCATGGTGACTGACATCCAATCAGGATAATGACATGAAGGTTTTTTCTTGGTGGGGGTGGGGATTCGGGTTCGAGACAGGGTCTTTTTGTAGCCCTGTCTGTCCTGGAACTCATTATGTAGACCAGGCTGGCCTCTGACTCACAGAAATCCATCTGCCTCTGCCTCTGAAGTGCTGGGATTAAAGGTGTGCATCACTACTGCCCAGCAGGACATGAACATTTATTTAAAAAAAAAAAATCCTCTAAGGAGAGTGATGCCCTAAAAGATATTACTAGCTTTTCCCCACCTTATGGTGCTGAGGATCAAATCTATGGCTTTTTGCTGCTCATCTACCTCATCTCTAAGCCCTCCTTACCAACCTTAAAAACAATCTCATAGAACTTTTACTGCCCCTAACTGTGGCAATGTTCAACCAGTGCCATGTGCTTAGAAAGACTGGAAAAGTTCTGCTTCAGACCAGGAAGAGGTACTGCTGCTCACAACTGCCTTCAAGTAGAGGTAAATCGTCAGGCTGTTCTCATCCCAGAGAGAAACAGACTTCCCCAGAAAGACACCTGCAGAGGGAGCTTGCTCTGCTGCAGCATGTGCACTGAGTGGTTGCAGCACCAGAAGCCAGCAGGAAGTAAACCTGCACCCTGTGCTGGAGTTTCTCAACTGATTCAACCACCATGCCAGCCAGACTGGTCATGAGAACCTAGCTGCTGTCTGCTGGGGACCGGGTAGGGGGTAGGGCATTACAAGTCTCTATAAACAAACACAGGTAGCAGCTTAGTGTGGCACTAACCCCGCCCTAGTACCCCCTATAATCTGGGTCTATGTGTAGGTGCTTCTGGATGAAAATGTTAAATTCCAACTTCAGTCCCTGAGATAAAATTTGTGGGGGAGGCTGGGTGGTGGTGACACATGCCTTTAATCCCAGTACTCAGGAGTCAGGAGCAGGTAGATTTCTGTGAGTTCAAGGCCAGCAAGGTCTACAGAGCTAGTTCCAGGACAGCAAAGGCTACACAACAAAACCCTGTCTCAAAAAACAAACAAAAAATGGTTGGGGAAGTAAGTAATGAAGCCATGCCATTGAGGAATTCATAGTCAGTTGGGAGAGGGTCATGGGGCTCCACCCTTCCCTGAGTCTCTACAGGCAGTGTATGGTTGCTAAGGGAGAGACATTTTCTTCTGAGGTTGGTGTAGCCGCTGGTAAATTGCCCTGTAAATAACCCTAAATTCACTGGTTCACATACAAGAAAAGACACGAAGTAGAAGAGGGAAATACATTACATACATGTATGGAAATGTTATAATGAATCCCATTATATGTAATTAACATATAAAATGAACCCAAAGGAGCCAGGCATAGTGGCTCATGCCTGTGATCTCAGCACTCGGGAGGCTGGGACAGGATTGCCCTGAGTTTGAGGCCATCCTAGGCTATAGGCTTTTGTCTTAACCAAAAAGAAAAAAGTACAGTGGAGTACACCTGTAATTCCTGCACTTAGAAGGTGGGAGCAGGATTGTAAGTTCAGTGTTATACTTGGTTATGTATCAAGTTCAAGATCTGATGGGACTACATATATAAGACCCTGTCTCACAAACATAAAAAAAAAAACTTACCCAAAATGCACCTGTACATTTGTACATGTTTCCAGAAAAAAAGCCAATTTCGGATACTATGTTTTTTTTTAAGAGATGGAGTCTCACTTTGTAGCCTTTTGACTAAGATCAGGTGGAGAGATGGGGTCTGGTGAGATTGTCCAAGTTGACCCGACTTCAGCCTCAGCTTCAGAACAGCAGGGACTTCAGGGAAGTGCCACTTCATTTGGCTCACTGTTCCTCTGGAAGATTCTCATTCCATTCTCCCTGGGCTTGGTTAAGTGAGTGTAAGAAAGAGAGATGTGTGCTCCTAAACTCCACCCATCATGTCCTCCTGAAACAGCAGCCATCGGACTGCCTGGCTTTGAGTGTCCTTGGCAAGCTAATTAACATTTTGGGCCCTGTTTTCCTCACAAGGGCAATACACTACATGCAATACACCTCATTCATGGTGTCTGAGGATTCAAATGAGATCATGTACTCTTGTGTAGTTGGCATACCTGCCCATACCACAGGAGCTCTTTAGGAATCATTAGCTATTGGAAGGGTTTCAGGGCCAGTCCAGAGAAACATCTCCAGTCTTGGGAACTGAAAAACATATGCCTCTACCACTGTGTGAAGCTCAGTTCATTTTTCTTTATACACAACTCGTGTATTCATGATCTTCAGTGGCCACAGTGCCTGCCACAGTGCCCCTTCCAAGCTCATCTTGGAGCAGGAGGCTGTACTTGGGCCCATGTTAGGAAACCTGTGTCTATCCAGGTCACCAGGACTACATCCAGGTTTTGTCTAAAGAACAAAACCACAACACACACACACTCAGCCTTACAGAGATTTTTATTGTTGGAGACCCAGTCATGCATACTAAAATTACATATTTTCACCACTTAGAAAAATGCACTAGAAAAATAAACTTTTGGTCAAAACAAACACTGAAGTAGATGAACCCACATGTGCCTAATACTCAAAGCCAAACTGAATTTCAGTTTGAAGTAAGGAACATGACCAGGGACTAAAACGGTGGCCTAGACTGCTCAGGAAAACAGCCCCATTTCCACCAGTCAGAGGGGATCAGAGGTCTTGGCCACTGAGAAGTTTCAAGTATTTTACCTGTTGGGTTCCTATGTACTATGCCAAGAAGAGGAGGCACATCCAGGGGAATCCAAAGCACTTAACTGCCTGACGGAAAACCTCCAGTGAGATTGGAAACACACACACAGGACCCCAGGTAACTGAAAACCAGTAAATGTGTGGTCATCTGCAGCTACAAGTCACGCTGGACCTTCCTGTGGAGCAAGCTCCCACTGAGAAGAAATATTTGGTGGTGCTTCTTGCATTTGAAGCTGAGCATTTCTGAGTCGAGAGAGCAGAAAGAAATCTACTTTAGATTTGCAAAGTGAACAGATGGCAATACTGAGAAGCCTTAGCAAGACAGCTGGCCGTCCTGAGCAGCTCATCGGTGTTCCAGCCTGACATGACCATAGCACAGCTACACTTCTGTCAACTGAGTCAACGTTTTCCGTCCTAAAGGAGGTTCCACAGAAGAACCTCAAGTGCATGACTTCAAGATGAGGTATTGTAAGAATGCCACAACAGCATGCAGCTATTGCTGCCCAAATGAAAAAGCAAGCTCTGTGGATGATCGGGAGATGACATCTGCCCAGACTGCCTGCTGGATAATAAGGCTGTCTCAGGTATTCAGAGGGAGGGCATGAATTTCTGAAGAAACTGCCTTGTAACCTGAGGTGCTTACAAACCTAAAATGAAATGTGAGTAGTCCAAACCCACCCTGCCCAGCGGAAGCCAAGGTGGGAAGCCAGCGCTTCTGGCTGTTTCTGTAGATTTTATCTGTATTCCTCCATGAAGGAATAACAGGTTTCTAAGAAACTGAATTTAGTGGAAGTCTGTAGCGGACTTGGGCAAGAGAAGAAAGCTCCCATATTCCTACACTAGCATATTTCAGCACCAATTCACTTGACCTACATTTCTAAATAGCTTGTTTTTTAAAAGCCCAGAATAGTGTCTAAGGAGAGCCAGAGAGCCAAGTGGGAACAGGATTTGGAGTTCAGCATACAAGCCTCTTTGGGCAGCGATCAAGGGCGTCTGTCCAGTGGCACATTCAAGGCCATGTGGGAGGAGAAAGGTGGAACCCACCTCTCTTTCACTGTCGCTTTTTCCTCCCAACACCACATAACCTTGACTTTCAGGAAAAGTTCATGTTCAGCTGTCTGTGAAATGTCTTTATCCTCAAGTCAGATACTCCCAAGTTCTTGCTCACTTGCTGCCTCTACCAATGTGTTCCCCTCAACTGAGGCTTTGCTGCACCCCTGCTGCTCAGCCCAGGAGTTGCTTTATTTTGCAGCAGGAGGTCCTGGTCTCACAGCCTGCTTCAAACCAGACGCGCCAAGACTCTGATCTCTAGAGTCAGCAAGCCGCAGAACAGCTTGGGGAGACAGGAAACCCAGGCTCTCAGAGGCCTAACCAGAAAGGCCTGGCAAACTGGGTGCTTTCTGCTATGAGATTTCTCCCTGTGAGCCTAGCTGTCCCTTTGTTAAATCAAATAGACAAAGAACTAGCTAGTCACATGACAGGATTTAAACCAGGGAACCTGGTGGGGCTGAGGAATTCATCTTTTCCTTTGTCTGTTTTTTCCCTTGTGCTCTCTTCCTCCTTAGGACCTAAGAAAGCTTCTAACAGATTCTCTCACCCCGGTTGCTGGGTTCAGAGCCAGCATGAGTCTTTTCAGGTGTCTTGGGTAGCCATCCCTTTAAGCAGAAAACCTTCCAGGAACTAAACCAAATAGCAGAAGCTCAGTAGTAAACGGTCTCTATGGGCAGTCAAGAGGGGTGTGTTTTGGCACTTAAGCTCAGCCAGGTCCTAGAAGATCAAGGATTAGCATCTATGGTAGAAAGAATGTCCCCCAGAATTGGCATTATTGTAGTAAGTTTCCATTAAGAACTTCTGCAGATGTTTTAGGAAATTTAGTAACAATAGACTGACCTTTGAGTCTCAAAGCCACATCTGTAAGCTGTATGGAATGCCTGCTTAGTCTACTAAGTACACAAACAACAGTACCTGACGCTATTTAACATCACAACACATGATGAATACCAAAGGACACAGGTCCAAAGCCAGGAGCTGAATCACGTCACTCAATGCTTGGGTTAAGGCTAAAATCTTGACAGATGTCTAAAGTGCCTAAATGCAAAACTAACGTTCTGGCCAGCTGGTCCTTCCACACTAGATGAACACTCGGCAGGGCCCCCAGGTGAGCCAGCAATAACCTGCTCTGGTGTGTTTCCAGAGACAAAAATAGAAGAAGCCCAAATCTGGCAATTACTGTGGCTGTTTCTAATACACCACTAGTGTCTCCAGGGTGGAAGGAGTTTGTCCAGGATTTGGCCAGCCTCACGAAAGCCCATCTCTTTCAAGTTTGCTCATCATTCTGCAAAGGCAGCTAGCTGGTTACCACCAAAGGCAAGGCCAAATGACACTCCTTTACATGCGGCTTGTTACATACCACAAAAAAACAAGACCTAGCTTTAGGTGGCCATCTTTCCAAGCAGGAAACGTAACAGAATTTCAGCATCCCCCAAAGCCCCCATTCCATGTAGCTTCACTTTAGAGACAACAAAGCCGAGGTCCATGTCTTGTGCAGTCACACACCCAACTCCTAGTCCAAACCTTTAGCCACATAGTCCTAGAATCCAGTATTTTATGTTGACTGGTATGAATCCATGGAGAACCAGAGCTAAGGCTTTATGGGTTTGGGAAAAGTTACTATTGCAAGATTCAACCCTGGAATCCCAGGGATGCTCTGAAGCACCTGGCTTCCAAATTTGATCTTTTAAGTAATGCCTGAGTCCTGGTATTTCTACCGCTCAGTTTATAGGGCTTTCCAGGACCAGTGATGACAACTGGGGCCTGAACCTTGAACTTTGCTGATGAGCAACAGAGGTCAACACTAGGGTTATTGGGAAAGACACAGTTTCACATGTGGCCACCTTTCAGGATTGGCAAATTGCTTCAGAGTTGTGACCAAATGGCTTCAGAGTCGTTATCAATTCAGTTGTCTCCTGCTGGTCACTTCAGAGTGACTCTGACCCTGGTTGCTTCCAAGATGCATAAAAAACAGATACAGACAGCTTATCCAGACCAGCAGTTGCAAACATTTGGGAATCACCAGGGCAATTTCCATGTCTTCCCTGGAATAATCCAGGTAGCCAAAGGTCTGCCTGTGATGGGCTCACCCTTGAATCTCTATAGGCAGCTCCGTCACTGCATAATGACGGAGCAAGACTGAGGCCTTGGCATCTTAAACCTTGTACATTTCTAAGGAATAAGGAATTCTACATGGTGACTCTCCCAGAAGAGTGCTAATAACAGGAGTAGAGCTGGGACTTCACGGCTCGTATGGAATCATCACACTGCACATCTGAGATCAGTCCTTCAGACAGCAGTGGCTGGCCCAGGAGACTGTCGCAGGCAGGTAGAGGCTGGCAGAATTCTCTTACAAAATCATCCTCTGATGCCAACAGCACTGCATTCCAGGTGGCAGTGTCCAGCTCTCCAGCTGTGCCCCCGTACTCCTTGGGGAGGATATTCCTTGGAAGGTTTGTGTGGAGAGAGTTCAGGTCAGACCCATGGAGAAAGAACTAAAACAGAACAGTATGAAAAACAGATTCAGCAACTGTGATCACAGGCACGAGATTGGGTCCTTCAACATTCCATCATGGTGTCTGGGGCAGGACCACCTACTCCTTCTTTAAGGATCTATAGGCAGTTAATGGTTGCTGGGGGCGAGTGCGGGGACATTTTCTTCAGTGTTATAGCCATTGGTAAGTGTCCACGGTCCTGTAAATGGCCCTTTATTCATGATCTTGTAAGTGAACCTAAATAAACTCAGATCACCAAAACAGAAAAAAAACGATAAGAAAGTAGAAGGGGGACTAGTTGAAAGGAAGAGAAACAATGGGGCTGGGAGGGGACAAGAAGGAAACGGGAATGAAAATGCCACAATGAAACTGATTACTATATTAATAGATGCTAACTGTGCTGGGTAGTGTTTTGTCAACTTGATACAAGCTAGAATCATTTGAGAGGGAGGAATCTCAACTGAGAAAATGCCTCCATCAGATTGACCTTCAGGAGTTGTCTTGATTGATGATTGATGTGGTAACTCCAATTCCAGGGGGATCCAATGCTTTCTTCTGGCCTCCTCTAGCATATGCGTGTATGAGCAGTCATACACACACTCACACACACACACACACACACACACACACACTGTGCAATAATCCTTCTGTATACTGAAAATGTGTTGCTCTCATTGTTAATAAAAAGCTGATTGGCTAATAGCTAGGCAGGAATTTCAGGCCAGAGAGAATGCTGGGAAGAAGAAGGGTGGAGTCTAAGGAATCTCCAGGAGGAGACGCAGAGGGAAGCAAGATGAAGTACTTTGAAAGAAAGTACTGCCACATGCAGAGGGTAGATAAGAAATATGGGTGGATTTAAAATGTAAGAGTTAGCTAGTAACAAACCTGAGCTATCAATTGAGCATTTATAATTAATAATATATCTTCAAGTGGTTATTTGGGAGTAGCTGCTGAGATACAGAGAAACTCTGTCTACACACACACACACACACACACACACACACACACACACACACACACTTTAAAATTAAAAGATCTTTAAAACAAAAGAAAAAGTGTGAAACTATAAACCCAGCCTTTGGAGTGACCTCAATGTCTCTGGGTGCAAGGAAGGAGGAGAAAAATGCCATTACCACATTTGTATCAGCGGCCCTGAGAAAGATGAACAGAGGAAGGGCTTTTGTGGGTCAGAAAGGAGAACCCTCGGGCTGGAAAGATGGCTCAGTGGTTGGGAGCACTGGCTGCTCTTCTAAAGGTCCTGAGTTCAATTCTCAACAACCACATGAAGGCTCACAACCACCTGTAATGAGATCTGGTGCCCTCTTCTGGCCTGCAGGCATACATGCAGGCAGAACACTGTATACATAATAAATAAATAAATTTAAAAAAAGAAAGGAGAACCCTTTTAAAAGACTCATCTGAGGTTGGCTGTGTAACTAGCAGCACAGCACTTAGCATGGATGAAGCTCTGAGGTAGCAATGATCAATCTATCTGCTTGGTGACCCATTCCTTCCCTTTTCTAAATCCTCCTACATATAAAATGCAATGTTGGTTCACAATGTCTAAGCCAGGAGGCCAGGAAATCTGAATAGATTACAGAACAGAGAGGCAGCTTATCATAAAAATCCCACCTTTCAGCCTGGGCTACCTGGGGCCCTGTAGTAACACAACGCCCTCGTCCTGTTCTCATTATTGGCAAACAATGTATTCTTACTAGTCCCCTCTCCCTCATAAAAAGGGTGGGTCATGCTGAGAATAGGTACCTTCTACTTCCAAGTTAGTTTCTGGACAAAAATAATGATGTTCTAGGTGTCACAATAAATCAAGCGAGAAAAAAAATCAAGGAAGATTTAAAACGTATCAAGTTCAAAGGAAATCACTCACCCTGTTTGCTATTTTCTCCTTCAGAAATGGTTTTATGATGGCAAAAATGCCTTTAAATATCCGAGGTTCGTTCACTATGTGGACGGCTTTTATCCGAATGGGGAAGCCATCCTGTGGGTGGAAGAACGCCATGTTAGAACACAGGCAGTATCTGCGTTCCGTCCCCTCTGTAGCTGCCTTCCCCGTAAGAAACACAGCACCAGTCTGCTCTGACTCTCACAGCCTCCTCAGAGAGCCCTGGTGTGACAAGTAGTGAGGAAGTGTGGGGCAGAAGAGCGAGGCAAAGGTGACAGGTGGGGCGGCTCCTACAGCAGCAAACAATGGTCAAGACCACAGCGAAAGAGCTGGAAAAGAGCAGACCTTCCAGGTCAGGGCTGCCCCAAGTGCACTTCCCAGATGGGATGTGAAGCAGGCCTGCTTGGTGAGCCAGAGGAATCCACTGGCCTACACAGTCACACAGGTTTCCTTAGTTTGGCTTGGTGGTTCTGGCCTGTAACCAGCTATTTGGGAGGCTGAGGTAGGTAGACTGTGAGTTCAGGCCTGTCTGAGATACAGAGTGTGGTGGTTTGAATGAGATGTCCCCTAGAGGCTCGGGCATTTAAACACTTGATCACACTTGGTGGCACTGTTTGGGAAGGTGAGGAGGAGTGGCCTCCTGCAGGAAGTCTGTCACTGGGGACAGGCTTTAAGAGCATCCAGCCCACACTGTTTAGTGCTCTCTGCTTTGTGTTTGCTGTGGAAGATGTGACCCTTCAGCTTCCTGTCTTCCACCATGCTTGACTCCTGATGCCAAGCTTCCCTGCCATGATAGACTCTTGTCTCTCTGGAACCATACACAATATAAACTTCTTTTTCTGTAAGTTGCCTTGGTCATGGTGTTTTATCACAGCATGATAAGAACACAACAGAAAAGAACTAATATACAGAGTACAAGGCCAGCCTGGGCCACTTGGGGAAACCCTGTCTCAAAATATAAAGTGGCTTTTTTTGTTTGTTTGTTTTTTTATTTTTGTTTTTTTAAGGCAGAGTTTCTCTGTGTAGCTCTGGCTGTCCTGGAACTCACTCTGTAGGCCAGGCTGGCCTTGAACTCAGACATCTATCTCTGCCTCGCAAGTGGATTAAAGGCATGTGCCACCACTGCCCTGCTATAAGAACTGTTTTTTAAAATGGGCTCAATAGTAGAACCCTTGCCTAACATTCAAGGTTCTAGGTTCAATCTCCAGATCCATTTAAATAAGGGGATAAGGGGGAAGTCTTTCAGAGCACTTCTGTACATTGGCTTTTTTGTTTTGCTTTTCAAGACAGGGTTTCTTTGTGTAACAGCCCTAGTTGTTCTGGAACTCTCTTTATTAGACCAGGCTGGCCTTGAACTCACAGAGATCCACCTGCCTCTACCTCCCAGAGTGCTGGGATTAAAGGTGTACACCACCATCACCCAGCTTTGTTCACAGGCTTTAACACACTGTTTACAATGAAATTCACAACAAAGGGACACATTACATCACAGTACCCAAGCTTACTTAACTCTGGAATTCTGATCCCTTCTGGGTGATCTTACATTAGCAGAAGAATACAGATCCAAACCCA